CCCGCCTTTCTAATATCTTAGGACGACCACACCGACCATTCATCGTGAGCGAGCCGCACCCACTGCGTTCCCTCTCAACCGCCGCACCCTCCTCACCGGTCTCTGTCGGTTCGGTCCCATCACCAGAAGCCTCACCCGCTCGTTTTCTGGCTGGCTACTTGATTTAAGATTTATATATATATATTACCCGGCCTATAGTTCCCCTCCAGCGTGTTTATTTCGCCCCGTTCCCTGTAGAGGTCTTCTGCTGCATGGCTTGGAGTTGCTAGCGTCATTCACTTGATAGTCCCATTTTTTGGGTTCGCTCCTCGTTCCTTTCAACGATGATTGCCCTTCGGCCCATTGCGGTTGCAATCGCGGGTGCCGCGTTAGTGTTCCAAACGGCTCTAGGTAGGTTCCCGTTCGCGCACGAGAGGGAAAACAATCTGGTTCAACGACTGACCGGCCGCTGCCTCCGCGTAACCAGGCCACTCTCTCCAGCGTAATCCTGTCAGCTATGTCTCGCTCGTAGACGAGCCCGTCATCGACACTCCGTCGCACAAGGTCCACTCCCGATCGAGCTTCGACTTGACTTTTACCCTTCACAACGGCGACCAGCCGATCCGGTTTGTCCTAGAGCCGAATTACGACCTCCTCCACGATGAGTTCGCCATCACGTATGTCGGAAGCGACGGCGAGACCCGGACGACAGAGCCCATCCCCGCGGAGTCCCATCGTATATACAAGGGGCGTGCGTTTGTACATCGCCATGGACGTTCGGGCTGGTCGCATGCTGGATGGGCGCGTATCACGGTCCGCCAGGATGGGCTGAAGCCTGTTTTCGAGGGCGCTTTCCGAATTGACGGTGACAGCCACCACATCCACACGGTTTCCAACTATCGCAAGGTGAAGCACCAGGACGACCCGGAAGTCACTGTTTCTGAGGACAGCGGGGAGAGGATGGTGGTATTCCGAGACTCTGATGTTATTCCTGATTCCGATATGGAGCTGAAGAAGCGCGGATTGGAGATGGTGTCCAGCTGCGGTGCTGATACATTGGAATTCAACAACCAGTACGATGCCAACCTACGAAAGAGATCTCTGGCATCCATCAGCGCCGCGTCCCTCTTTGGCCGCCAGACGGTCGATACTGGCGATGACGCTGGTGCCAACTACTACTCGACTATTGGACAGACCAAGGGCTGCCCTACAACCAGGAAGGTTGCCCTGGTTGGAATCGCGACTGACTGCAACTACTGGTCGGCATTTGACAAGGACAAGAACAAGGTGCAGGAGCATGTTATCAGCATGGTCAACACCGCATCTCAGCTTTACGAAGACACCTTCAACATTTCTCTAGGTATCAAGAACTTGACCATGATCGACCAGGAGTGCGCTTCGACTGCCTCCGACCAGTCCCCCTGGAACCTGGGCTGCAGCGACGGCGACCTCAGCAAGCGATTGAACCTCTTCTCCGATTGGCGCGGCCGATATGCGGACAAGAATGCGTACTGGACGCTTCTCACCACTTGCGCCACCCAGTCAGCTGTCGGTCTTGCCTGGAGAGGTCAGCTTTGCCGTGAAGGCTCATCCCAGGCCAAGGGAAGCACTGGAGGCAACGAAACCATCGCCGCGACCAACGTTGTGGTGAAGACATCCGCAGAATGGCAAGTGTTTGCACACGAAACTGGTCATACATTTGGTGCCGTTCATGACTGCGCTAGCTCGACTTGCCCTGTCAGCACTACCACACAATCTTGCTGTCCATTCAGCGCGAGCACCTGTGACGCCGGCGGCAAGTATATCATGAACCCGTCCACGGAGTCGGGTATCACCAACTTCTCTCCTTGCAGTATTGGTAACATTTGCTCTGGACTTCTGGGTACCGTTGACGATGCGTGTCTGTCGGATAACAAAGACATTGGTACCTTTACGGGCAGCCAGTGTGGAAACGGAATTGTCGAGACTGGTGAAGACTGCGACTGCGGTGGCGAGAAGGGATGCACAAACAACTCGTGCTGTGATGCAACCACGTGCAAGTACAAGACCAATGCCGTCTGCGACCCGGACAACGAGAGATGCTGCACATCCTCGTGCCAGTTCCTATCCAAGGGTACCGTCTGTCGCGAGAGCACTGGCCAATGCGACCCTGAGGAGACTTGCCCCGGTGATGCGGGTGACTGCCCAACTGATAGTCATCTCAAAGATGGTGATGGATGCGGTAATGGATTGCATTGCGCATCGGGCCAGTGCACATCTCGCACCGAGCAATGCCGCACTACCCTTGCGAGCAGCAAGATCAGCAATTCCTCTATCCAGAGCTGTGCGTATGATGTTTGCCGCATATCCTGCACGACTGGCGGAGATACTTGCTCCATCTACAACACAAACTTCCTCGACGGCACCGACTGCGCCGGCAAGGGCAGGTGCAAGACTGGAGTCTGCGAGGGCTCGAGCACCTGGGGCAGGATCCAAGAGTGGTTCGAGGACCACAAGAACATTGCCATCCCGGTGGGCAGCGTCATCGGTGCTCTCCTCCTACTCGCCATCGTCAGCTGCATCTGGAGCAGCTGCAAGCGCCGCAGGATGCGAAACGGCGCAGCCAAGCGTGCGGCGATGAGCGGCGCCAACGGAGCAGCACCTTTCGCTCGCGGAGGTCAACCATCCCGTCCCCCTGCCTATGGAAGCTATGAGCCGGTGCCGCCAATTGAGGAGAGGACGTGGAACCGCACTCACAGCTCAAGATATGCTTGATACAATCCTGCATAGAAAGAGCTTTCTCTGTACCTGATCATAGATTATCGAATATTGATTTTGTTTTCATTTTCCTTTTCCTTTTTGCTTAGAACTGAGCATGTCTTTATGCGGTTGTTGCATCACTTCTGCTGGCGTTTTGGGTTGATCTTTTGCCGCCTCTTATGGTTGATGATACTATACTTCTCGTCTATTTCTGATGATTATTGTTATTGGCATTTTGCATAGATGGAGAAGCACACTGGGTTCGAACAAGCTTGGATGTGGGTGGCCCAATATTAGCAGCTTGATTGATATTCTGTTCCTTGACATTTTCCGCCCCCCCCTTTTTGGATTATACGTTGTAGTTTGGGGAAAAAACAGCCTCATCGGCAAGCGCAAATAAGGAACGTGTTAGACATTCAACATAGCTTCTTTCGTTTACTTGGTGATTTGTTCATTAGATCATTAACAATCGTGCCTTCGTACTTGTTTTCACCATCCCTCGCTTGTAGAAACAACGCCAGTCCCGCCTCGTTAGCAGAGTTGCGCACCTCAACCACCTGGCTGCTCTTCATCCGCTCGAGGGTTCCGCAATGGTGAAGCCACCACTGCCGCTCACGATCCGCTGTCCCAGCTCCGGACCCTTCAGCGGGGTGGTCGGTTTGGCCTTCGAGCTGATCTCCGGGGGCATGTTGAGGTCCGGGTTCATCCTCTCGGGGCTCAGGCCCGCGGCCATCTGCATGAAGCGCAGCCGCTGGCTGGGGATAGACTATAGCGAGCAAGAAATCCCGAGCGTTAGCCGTCGCGGTCCCCCAAAAGCTGAGAGTTACGTCAAAAGAATCACAGGGGGGGAGAGAGAGGGAGAGAGAAGGGGGGGGGAATGCAATTTGGAGATAAGAAGGGATCAAACGTACATCATTCTCGCTCTGGGCGTACATCATCAGCTTCTCCGGGGAGTCCAGCACCGACATGGCAAAGGCCCTGCGCTCTCTGGCCTCGTACGTATCCTTGGGAAGGCTGTCCATCCATTCATACGTAAGTGACACATTCTTTCCCATAACTCACACGAGTCAAATATTGCGTGGGACAGTAGGGAAAGGGGGAGGGATCAAGAAAATGGACCTACCACTGGCCAAGCCCAAGATGCATCACAGAGTGGTGGTCCTCGTGTCCAGGAAGGCCTTGGAAGGGGTTCTTCCCCCGGGCCTGCAGATCGCGCATGGCTGGAGTGAACGCCGGAGTCAATGGTGGTGATCCCTGCTGCGGTCGCTGAGTCGACATGATGGGCAGCGTAGGTGAACGGAATGAATTGAACCTCTAGCTCTTGAGTTTGGAAGACAAAACATGTAAGGCTCACGGCCTCAGTACGCGACAGATACACCGAGCTGTTGGTATAATTGGTGTGCTTGTTCGATGACTAAGTCACCAGTCCTCTCCAATGGGGTGCCAGCTGAGTGATTGAAGAAACGAGACACCCAAGGTCCAGTCCGGCTACATCTTGAACAATGATGAATATTGTTCATTACTTCATGATACGTAATAATAATAAACAAATAACCAGATAATACACTCTATGTCATCGAATTGTATCAATTTTATTATATCATTCTGATTCTTGAAGATGGTGCTCTACTTCATTTCTTTACGCACTTGGCTGCTCATTTGGTTCATGTTTGACTTGGCTAACTTTCAAAGTATTGGTAAAGATTTCATGAATTACATCCTAACTATTTCCTTTATTTTTTGTACAGAGTTGCACTGGCAACCAACTACCAGCGGACACCGTCATCACTCATTCATTGCCTTCCCACCCGCACTGCTATGTAGCTCCAACCATACACCAGTTTTGCCTCTATCCCAATTCATCGTCTGAAAGGTAGCGGGAAGAGAGAACGAACAACAACATGGGAATAGTCGATAATGAGATGTGACTGACAGAAGAAACCCAAAGAGAGGAAGATTGACGCAACGAGGACATCCCACAAACACTCGCCCACCCATGTACCCAAATGCCATTTCCGAAGCAACCCGAATGTGGTATACAAAAGAAAACACCGAGATAGTAAACCATACCTTCCTGCTGTGGTTGCGCCTAACCGGACACGCGTCGTCTGCTCGATATTCGAGGCGAAAAGCGCATTGTTTACTCAAAGCCGCATAGAAAACCCGATAAAAAGAGAACGTGACATTTGTGGAAACGCCGTGGCGTATTACTTATGTAATGAGTGTAGACCGTCATCATCATGACTCACTTGAGCGGTTGGTTGATTATGCCGTAGCTGAGTTCATCTACTAAAGTTGATCACAGCGAGCTAGATGGAAGAACTTGCGTTAGTATTTGCAAGCTGAGAAGGAACGGGTGGTTCAACTTACTCTGGAATTTGACCCATATGCCAATTTCTGTCCGCTCGCGTCCCAACATAGGCAGTGCTCATCCTCTTCTTCTGATTCTGAGTTTTCTTTGGGGCTTGACCACCCCGCATGCGATGGACGTGTCCACGTAGCTCGTGGGACAGCCGTGTTTTCGACTTTCCATATCAGCACTTGAGTCGCCGTGGCGCCGGCAATAAAAGCGCCATCCGGGGTAAATGCAAGGCGGACGATTGGAGAGCCCATGGTCAAGAAGCACTTGGTTTTGCTCTCTGGCCTTCTTGCGTTCCATATCAAAATAGCGCAGTCTTCACCTCCGGTGGCAATTAGTCGCTCGTCATCGGCCCTAACTTGGGTTGGTGATAAAGGCTGCCACGCCATTGTGGTGATAGGGCCCCGATGCGCGGTTATTGATTTCCGCTGCCCAGCCTCATCCCATAGCTATGAACGATCAGTATACGGGGTGACCGTGGGACAAATCAAACAACAAACTTACATCTAACACACCCTTCTCGCTGGAAGTTGCAGTGATTTTCGTCAATGAATCGTACAGAACCTGCCTGAAGCTATCATCTTGTCTGGTCTCGTACTTGCGAACCAGATCTATTGAAGCTTCCCCAACACGTAGGCAAACAAACATGTCACCTCCACCCAGAAGAAACTCGTTTTCGCTAGTCCAAGTTGCATCCAGGCTGTTGGCTGTCGTATCGTAACCTGGAATCACATACGACTTTGCAGCACCTGAGGAAGATTCATACACCGTGACGATAGCGCCGGTTTTCTCGGGCGAAATCGATAGCAGCGACGTGCTTTGCGGGCTCCAGGCAAGTTTGACAACTGGGGGCTCGCTTACAGTAAGTGTTTGAAGAAGCATTCCATCAGACGAGCAGATATTGATCGCAGCCTTTGATCGCATGTCAACTGCGACCGCCAGGTTTAGACCATCCGTCGCCCAGGCAAGTGCCGTGACCGTCGTATTCGAAGGAGTCTCAGGGTCGAGCAGGGGCAGTCCATCTGGAGAAACGTAACCGTTGGGCAGCCTCCGGTCGGGGGCATAACCACGGGGAATTGACCATACTCGGGCAAGCGCATCTGTACCTGCGGCTGCGAGCAGAGTTGGGTCTTTCGGGCTCCATTCACACTGCAGAAGGATGGGTGCGTTGTTACCGTTTACCATGTCGTCGCTGTCAATAGAAGATAGGGAGTCGTTTCCGAGGCGAATGAAGGTGGTGTCTGGCAAAAGCTCCTCGACTTTGTCTACCTGCGTCCCTTGCTCGGGGCCGTCGGTGTGCACCATTGGTGTGGTAGCCTGCTCGCCTTCCAGTGGCGACGGATAAGCGTGGTTATCCTCATGATGCTGCTGCTGGTGACCTTCCTGTGTGTCAACATCCATAGGTGTGATGTCAGCGCCTGCATCCAGCCCATTCTCGGAACTGTTACTGAGCCGTTGGCGCTTAATTGGAGATCCATTGGGTAATTGCTGCTGATGTCGTTTACGATTAATCTCCAGATCCTCGGAGGGTGGCGCGGTGACCGTGGCGGGCTGAGTTATCGACGCCCGTTCAAGTGCAGCGCCGACATCCTCAACCTGCGCTGGGGGTTTTGTGACCAGGGGCCCGAAAATACCGAACTCCAACAAATCATGCTCTAAATTCGCCCCTCGTGATAACTAACCATCAAATTAGTTTTTTTTTCTCGCTTCATTTGGGGGTAAGAAAAAAAGGCTATCCAGATGCGGAGGGGTTGAGGCTAAAAGCGGAGACGGGTGATAAAACAATTCAATGAAATGAAAGCCGAAGGGGATGAGTGAACCCTATCGAGAGGCGTTGGTGGTGGAAGTACCTGATTTGCTATGTGTTGGCGCTCAAGCGCATGATAAAGTAAGCCCCGATTGATGATGGATACCAGAGCGTGGCCTTTTACGTGGGGTGCGAAAGGGAACTCTTGGTGAGGTTCCTTGATGTGCCACTCTTTTTGAAACTTGGCGGCAGTCTCGCGGTAATCTATGGACCAGAGACAAGTGCGTGGTCAGATTAGCTGTTCATCTTTGCGTTACTGTCCTGCTGGGCACGCAGCAGGCGATTGAACCAAGGCAGAGAGGCCTGTGGCTGGGGTGCAACATACTGCATTCAAGCAAATACCTGCATTCGAGTCAGTAAAATAGCGCCAGATGAATTCAGGGACCGCGGTCATGAGGCTGGCTGGAGGCAGGCACAGTGCAAGAGGCATGGTGGCAGCAGAGGGCGAGAGGACGGGCAAGAAGAGGGAGATGGCGGATTCGAGTGCAGAGGGGAGAGATGCGGTCCAATGCGCCGGGTGGGACGAACCTCCAGACGAGAAAGTTGACTCTGTCCGAGTCGATGAATTCCTTGACAACCATGGTAGGTAGGAGAGACCGGGGCGCGCGCCTCGAAGGGCGCACCGTCGCGGAAGGTCGATACAAGCGCTTAAAAAGCCTAGTGAGCAGGTCAAAAGCCGGAGCCGGGTGCTAGGGATCACGGGCAGGAGGCTCTCGCGGTCCAAGAGGCCTGAGTCGTCGGCGGATTGCGATTTGGCGATGTGGTGCAGCAAAGTTGAAGATTCAAGAAAGAGATGAAATCGAATCTCAAAGTTGGTGTCGGGGCAGCGGTAAGTTGGACTCCACTCCCCTTCCTTTCTCCACCCGCCCAGGGAGGGTACAACGTGCCTGACATACATTGCCTCACACTACCAGCTTCCTCAGTGGTACCTACGCGCCTACCGCCACTGGGTAGGGAGGCAGGTTCCCTCGAAGTACCGTCTGTGGCTCAGCCGCTGGCCATGCACTGCAGGGCTGCTGAGGGCACTGGCGGAGGTGCCACCCAACCTCGACCTCCCAAACCTCGAAGCAAGACATATCTTCCGGTACAACGTGCAGCGCTGCAAGCCCCCAAATACAGCCCGACACGAACCAGCCAGAGCGCACCATGGCTAGGAGAAGTACCCTGTCTTGGGGGTGGGTAGGGCCATCCAGAAGCACACACGGATACATCTAGGCGATACTGGGTGGGGCTAGCCCAAATACAGAACAAGCGTGGAGCGATTTCGAAGGTACAACTGGAGTACATGGAGATAGGTGTTGGAACGGAGACTGGTGGCCATGCCGCCTAACCTAGCGGGAACTAGCACGAACATTGAGGTTTGTGACAACCTGGAATTCACACACCAGGGCATTCTCGAATTCCACAGCAAGATGGCGGAGAACATTTTGAGAACACGCACCCCGTCGGCACCAGAGTCATTCGGCCCAGTTCGTGCCTGGCTATGCTGTGACGAGTTCGCATCCGACGTCTCGTTCTTGCACTAGACCAGCCGCTCTGTTCTATGAAGGCTTCGATTCATTTTATGTCGATCAGCTCGCACAGCAAATTCAAATGCTCACCCCCTACGCCCCTACCTGGCGAAACTCTGGGGAGCCTGGTCCTGAGATTCAATGTGTGCCCTTATTATGATGTACCCACTACCGCGAGCTCCCAGCTGTCGACCGCGAATACGATACGAGGGGCATAGTCTTTCTACATAGGCAGGCAGTAGAGATGCCGTCCCTGTCCTCCCGTTTGCCTACCGGCGCGTGGTCGCGCCCCTCGTGTCAATGCTGGGGATCCAAGCTGCCCACAAGGAGCCGCTTACGAAAAGCAGATGGGGTTCCAGAGTACATCCGGCTGAGGAGCGACGTGGAGGCTCGGCAAGTTCTTAGCGCAGGGCCCTTTCTTCCTCTTGCCCCGGGAGCGGAGCCCAAAAAAAACGTACCTCAATTTAAGGGTACGTATCCCGGCAGCTATCATCCCATACAAATTGTGTACCGATACCTGTTACCAGCTGTGCCACCATGGTGCTGTTCCTTGTTCAACAGCCACTGAGTGTGTCTTGGCGCCCCGACACATCCACAAAAGGTGCGACGCACATGAACCTCTCCAACGATTCCGTGCGCAAATTCGCCGGTCAACACCCTAGGCTACCGTCCTCAAGCACCTTCACCTTGAGCCCAGCAAAAACGCCGGGCTGGCCGATTTGGTAGTTGCAAATGTGAGGCATCGGACGAGTGACAACCCTCACGCATGTTGCAGAGGGTGCCCTCTGACTCGCCCCCACCGCAGCTGGGTTGGCAGGCCTGGGCCGAGAAATCCTGAGACCGATCACTGTTGCAGATCGTAAGGTTTAGCACGGCAGCTAGCATTCAACTGCTGTGACTGGGACAAGCAACGGGCGGGACTTTATGATGCATACATGCGCAAACTGCCTAGCGAGACACCGGCCTGCAAGGTGCGCTTGTGCACATCCAAAGGGGGGCGAACCAGCGCAAACCTGCTTTTCGAGATGCCGAGCGGAGGCATGTCTTCCTTTTGTAATATTTCAACCTTTTCTTTTTAAGGTCAATTTGAAGATTGTTAACCCTGGCTCCGCCTAGGCCTGGGGAGGGGGCAAATTATGGGAAGAGCGGGTAATAATAACTCGTCCCAAATAATGGGCTAGAAAAGGTCAGACGCGTTATTAGTACCTTCACTCCGCCCCCCTCCCCGAACGGATCCATTCAAGACTGATCGGTACTCCCCTTTCGTCGCCTCTGGCTGCTGGAGGATTTGCAGAGCCAGAAGTTCCGTCGGCCCAACCCATCGCTCCGCCATCTAGTTCTTCGCTAACGGTGGCCAGCTCGACATATGCCTCGAGCGGATTGATCCCCTCGCCAGCGGCAGTGTCTGTTGGTGCAATGCACACCAATCATGCCCTGCATCCAGGCCTGCAGTATCAGCTCAAACAATGGGGTTGGCGTCTGGGCGCTGCGGGAAGATGTAGGCTGCAGCTGTGTGGCAGTCGTCATGAGCGACCCAGGCCCATGCTTAAAGGGTGCCGCCAGCAAACCTTGCCCACACCATCAAGCCTTGGCTTGCCTGGCACATGCGCAGGGTCCACCTCCGTCCGGACCAGTCAAGAAGCCAATGCCGCAATCTGCAATGTACCCAGTGATACGTACCGATTTCATGCGCAACTCTTCGCTTCAGGTGCTCATCTCTCTGCAGGGATCCTCAGCCCAGCCTAGTAATCCCTAGACACGTATGTAATATCGTGACCTGCCCTGCCTACCTGTCCCGTGGAGGAATTCAAAGATGGGGCTCGGAGGGTATGTATGCAAACGCTGAAACCACTTGCTGACCGCCGCGCTTAACTGCCAATGCCAACCATGCTCAATGCATGCGGACGTCTGCACTGCTGAACTCACCCAAGGATTGCTCACTTCGGCCGTCGGTCGGCCTTCTGGGAGCTGTAATCCTTGCTTCCCGCTATCTTCGGGCTGTATCGAGAGCTGAGATCAAGCAAAACGTGACAGCCCCTTCCACCTCCTACCCCGGTGGGCGGCTTGCTCCTTGGCTTAGCAGATGCATTGCATAACGCCTAAAAAAGACATGACCCTTCCCTCTGTGATCATCCATCGGGAAGGGAGGGGAGGGATCACCTTCTGGCATCCTGGTTCCAAATGTAGGCTCCCGTACATACTCGTACATGATGCACAGGCAATAGATTATTTTAGGCAGTGCCTGTAATGCTGCGAGCTCACGAACAGGAGCACTGACAATTTCATCATTCTAATGTGGACCCGATAAGGTTGGTGGTATGTGGATTGGACAAGAAACTAGAAAATGTCAGCCAAGACCTGCCGCATTCGTCGTCAGAGACATACCAAGTGAATAAGAAGAGGAAGAAGAAGCAGAAGAAGAAATGTTGGCTATCGGGATCCCTCCTTCACCGCCACGTTATTGCTAATTCCACAGCCGCACATTTGCACTTGCAATTTCATGGGATCTCGCTGTCAATGCACCGAGGTCATAATGTTCGTGAATGTGGCACAAGATCAACAGAAGCCAACCTAAAAACTACCCGTGCTCCAAAGCAGGTGAGTTTCACAAATTTCCCCAACGTTTCTAATTCGCTTCCTCAGGCAACAACATTTGGGTGTGGCTGGTAGCTGCCAGGGTAGTTTAAGTTTGTGGCTGGTGTCCATGGGGCTGGGTGTGGCGGTGCGCGGAGAAGCAAACCAGATCACCAATTTGCTGTGGTCTACTTTGTCTAGCAAATACGTATCTACCAGAATTAGTGCTGAACTCCTATCCCGTCAAAGTCTGCGCAGAACGCTGCCCATCCAGGCTCCATCCAGAGCCATGCCACCTCGAATAAACATCCCGCCGGTGACTCGAGCGCTGCTCATTGCACTGCTATTTCAGTCTATTCTCAGCGCCGCAATCCGGTACCGCCAATGGACAGGAACCGCCGATATCCTCATCCCTTATCTGACGCTCGTACCTCAGCTGTCGATTATCTACCCTTGGACTTTCCTCAGCACTTCGCTCGTTGAAGGAAATGTATTCACCTTGGGCATCGCCGGCGCAACGTTGTTTTACGGGGGGAGATATCTCGAACGAGCCTGGTCATCACGAGAGCTCGCAAAGTTCCTGGCTCTGGTTACATTGATACCCAACTTCTTGACATTTTTGGTCCTAGTTTTCTTCTTTACTCTTACTCGCGATGAACGCTGGACGTATGTGCAGTCCTTGAGCTGTCGTTTTCTCGTTGGTGGGGTTGCTCTTTGCTAATCAAGATATACAGGCTCACGGTTATCGCGGGCACGATCCCCATCCAAATCTCTTTCCTCGTGGCTTTCAGCCAACTCATCCCAGCACACACCGTGACCCTATTCCGCGGCATCTTGTCCTTGAGAGTACCACGTTTTCCGCTCGTTTATATTGGTCTCGTTACGCTCCTTGCTCTCACGCCGTTGCTCACGACCGCTTCGATGTGGTTGGCTTTGTTTGGCTTCGTCACCAGCTGGACATACCTACGATTCTACAAGACTGTCTTTCCCGACCTCGAGTCCTCACAGGCTGCGTCTCTCCGTGGCGACGCCAGTGAGACGTTTGCATTCGCCGAGTTCTTCCCACACCCCGTCAAGCCGTTCGTCGCAACGTACTCGGATCTTGTCTTCCAGACTCTGGTCGCCATGCGCATCTGCACACCTTTCTCCCAGGCAGACGTATCGGCCGCCCGTGGCGACAGCTTCCTCCAGCGTGGCACGCCGGGTAGTGCTCGCGCCGAAGCCGAGAGGAGGAGGGCGATCGCTCTCAAGGCGCTGGATCAGAGATTACACGCCGCAAGCGCCAACGCGGCCAGTCGATCCGCACCCAACCCCCCTGTGCAAGCGACCGGACCGCCGGTAGAAACACAGCCACAGCCCAGCACCCAGACGGCCATGACGTCTCAGCCGGCCCAAATGCTCGGGGAGACCAAGTTTGACCCCGACCATGACGACGATTCCAACTCAAGCTGAGCCGGGATCGAGCGTGGGGCTGGATGGAGTGTAATTTGATATTGGGATATTTGATACCATGGTGTAACCATGGGTGAGCCATTCGTTAAGGATGTTGGCTAGAAAAGTGACTGTCCTTGATTGACTTACAACTATACGTGTTGATGTATTACTAGGACATACATAGCGATGCTTTTACTCCACGGGGTTTTGGGGGTTTATCGGGGTGCCTCTACCACATATTTCTTAGTTTCCCTGCTTATGATACTGATTTTTGCTTTGGTTTGGTCAACACACAATCGTCTCACATTGTCTTTCCGTGACTGTGCACTTGTTAGGGCTGGATGTTTCAGACTGCGACCTCCAGGTCTTCTTCCCAAGACAGCACGTCATATCAGCTGACACCGACCAAAAAATGGTGTGGTAGAAGGGTCAATCTATTCACACCTTGATAGCCGCTACAGCCACTTAGCAGCGTGACAAAAGAACGGTATATTGCATTGAAGGGTAGCTATGGGCTGGCCACTTCATGCGATATCGAGAATAATATGTAGCATATAACGGTATAAACCAACAGTCTCCAGTGTATTGTCTCTTGGGTGTTTGTCATTGCTCGAAAATAAGTGAAGTAATATTTTCCTTGGATGCTAAAATTGGACAGATAGGCACACCAGAGCATTTAGCATGGTGCGAATAGTCATGCCCATGGTAAAAGCATGCATCTGACTATTAGTGTGCAACGACGGCAGCCAGTTATATTCGTTCACATTGTTGTTTCAGTGAGGATGGCTCCATGTGCGAGTGTGGTTCGACCGATTCGAGAGGACAGGACTCCCGGTATCACTTAAAACGTCGCCCTTTATTAATTCACTTCCTGTCTCGTTGCTTGGCCCCAGCACAGGATGCCCCCAAAAGGCAAAGGGGCGGCGGAACTGGAGACCTCTCCCGGGTTGCGAGACCCGTCTATATCAACCACGAATGGAAGCAAAGGGTGCACTCCCCCACTTGACTGAAGGTTGGATCCGAAGACAACCCTACCAAATTACCGGGCCTTTAGGATATTATAAGCGAAGGGAGTCCTCCAGTGCCGTCAACGAGATTGAGTTGGCGAACGATAACTGATTGATCATGGATCGCTCTGAACAACGCAAGGCCATCATCCTGCATCCTACCGATATCAACGCCAGCGCCCCTGGGGGCTTCCACGATTGGCAGGTTCCTGGCAAAGGTGGCCAAAAGTACCGGAGTGTGGTTCTAAAAACAGGAAGCAGTGCCGCTCGCCTGCAATCCAGCGAGCTTGACCACGGTCTCAATCCATGGCATGGCTTCCCGCGCCATCAGACCACCCACGTCGCAAGCGCAAGCCTCACTGATAATGGAGGTGTGCCTCAGCAACTATTGCTCATTTAGCTTTCATGTAGTTGACTCGATAACACCATGGTCAAAATGTGTCGCAAACCAAAAAATTGTTCACGTATTTTGTCGGAAGAGGCAGACATGAGGTTGATATGCCATATTTAGCACGGCTGTACCCGTAGTGCATCTTCAGAACACGCACTAGAAGTCACCCAGCATGCCCGCCTCCCTAATCCCGGGGGGCTGTAAAAGTCCGGTTGCCAGGATGTCAGATTTAACTCGGGAGGGCAGCGGATGGCAGAGCTGCCTGACATGCAGCAGCGCCACCCTCGTTCACCACTGTGCCGGGCTGTTTTAATGCGACCCCCTTACAGCCCGATATCAGATCATGAGAGTCCAGTTCAGTGAGGCAGCCAAAGATCAAAGGCTGTGTCGCGAAGCTGGCTGAACCAGGCAGCAAAGCGCAGTCATGGGGGTGGTCTTTGTTTATCCGATGGGGGAGTGGGCGCTGGGAAGGGGATTTTCTCCAGGATTATAGCGACGGCGGTGGGCTAAGGTACCATGTTACCCAGTAAAGCGGACGGGAATTCTGCCTGTCCATCACAGGGGTCAGGATTCCCTTTAATGGTCAGGTCGCAGCACGGTTTGCACAGCGTCGACGAACTGGTACGATTACATCAGGTCGCCTCAGTCGACGAATGGATGGTTGGATTATGCTGGAACAAGCAAAGAACACCAAGTTTAGCTCATCAATGACATGGAGGCGCAACGGTCGAAGTGTAGTTTGATTTGTTGGGGGGCACACGCCGGAGCTAGGATCGAAGGCTTAAACAGGTGGGAACTACCAAGCCATCAAACCAACCGACACGTAGGCAACCAGCGTAATTCCCGAGCGAGATGAGTGAGGCAAGTATTGGACTTTGATACGGCGCAGCAGGAGCTGAGCTCGTTTATCACTCATCATAGAACGATCTCCGTTCGGCCGCCGGAACACACAGCAGAAGCTGTGTTTAGGGTGGGAGAAATCGGAGGGGCAGGGCTGAACATAAGCGTTGGTGGGGGCACTCAGGGAGAGAGGCACGCATCTGCCTTGGGGATCGAACTAGTACGGGGGCAATAGCCACATGTTAGGATGATGACAGGGCGTGTGGGCAAACGGGGGAGCCGTGCAAGCCTGGACGCGGAAGTGATTTGGTTCCCCAAGTGCGTGCAGAGAGCATTCATAGGTGCAAATCAACTCGACTAGAGTTGCTAAATGACGGCAGTCAGGCCGGGATCACACGAGCCGTTCATTGGACAACAAACTGGGTGACGCAACTCCCGCTAAATTCCATAGTCCAAAAGGCAGATGATGTTAGATGGATCCAGCGCACTGTGAGTGCGCTGAGCAGGCCCGAGAAATAGGGAGTATACCTTTGCACAATTAGCCTTTGATTATTTATCCGGCGATGATTGGACTCTGACGTCTCGCTGGCATCGATAGGAGCCCTTGTTCAGGGCAGCCAAAGCTATGACCTCGATAATTTAAATGTGCTTGGGCCAATCATAAATGTCACTTTGGAGACGGTAAATTGCCTGCTGAACCTACCCCCAGCTAATAAAGACATTGGTCTGGTCGCCTGATGAGATGTGTATGTCCGTGCTATGAGGCGAAAAAGCAAGCAAGTGCGTTATGAGATATAGGCGTTGGCTTGCGACATGAGGCCAAGCCAGCGCACAACCCGGCCGGAAAACAGCCCAGCCCCTGGACATGGGCGTTGGGCGTTGGGCGGTGGCTCCCTGCAACTGAGCTCGTGACGTCGAGCAGAGCAGCAGAGGGCCAAACGCAGCAGGCAGGCGACCACGATAGCAGCCAGTACCAAGCACGAGATTCTCATCGGGATATTTATTGCAAAACTTAATGTAAGACTCGCTTGTAGGGTGGGTGGTGGCGTATCACCGCCCAGGGTAATACATTGGCACTATTACGTAGTGGGGAGAGCATCAGAGGGTATGGGTGTGTGGTGGGTGAGGTGTGATTGTGGGTGTACATGCAGTGCGCCCAGCGTGTGCATGCCGATGCGAGTGCCAAAATGGTGGTGGAGGGTACTGACGCTGGCTCACCGGGCGGCCCTGGCGGACCAGACCAGAGCTGCCGCTTTTGGGGGGAGGGGCGGTGGGGTGCATGATACTGTGTTTCTGCACATCCACATTTTCAGAAAGGGATACGTACACGGTATCACAGGCGACAAGGGCCGAACCTCACTAGGAACACCTCACGAGTCACAGCCTCTGCTGGTGGTTGGGGTTCATGCCTGACAAATCGAATCCTTCAGCCCAATTGGCAGCCCTCGGCTTGGGGCAACCGTCGGCCACCTTCATGTGCCCAACGGCGATGCAAGTATCGCCGTGCCCTCTGGCGTCGTCGGCGCTTGCGTGCTCGTCGTTCGCGTGCGCTGCCTGCACTGCGCGGCGGGCCTGTGCTGCTAGGGCGCCGGCCCAGCTACGAGCCGAGTCAGTGGAAATAGAGCCGGCCTGGTCGCCTTCATCTCACCTAAGGTTAGGTCCTTACCTTACCTACTACGGAGTAGGCCTTGCCCGGGCTGGACCAACATGAGGTACTTGGGTACCTGCCCACCTGCCGACATCAGCAGCCGGGGTCAGATTAGCGCGTATGTACTCCGTACCTGGTGCAGTGTTGTCTTGCAAGGGGAGCAAGCCTCGACAGCCGCCATGGCCATGTTGCCTGCATTCCAAAAAAAGCGGAGTTGATGGGTTGGGGGAGTTTGAAGCCCCGCTTTTTTCGTTTGAAGGAGAGTTTCGCTGTTCCCCCCTTCTGTTCGTTCGATCCATTCGAGCCGCCTTCGTTCTCCCGATCCCCAGCTGCTTCTTCTCACCTCCATAGGATCCAAAGGAGTTGGCGCAGATTGGGATCGAGTCCTCAACCACATTGGCCTACCCTCTCGCGCTCGCCATTACTCATTATTCGTACCCAGCCCTCGTATCCTCCCTACACTCACTTCACTGTTTTTCCCCGGTTCCGCGCCAGCTTCACGCCTTGACTTTTATTTTGTTCCACGTCCGCGCCAGACCTGACCGCCACACATTGGGCCCTCGCGCCCAGCTCAACGCTTCAGCCATCGAATCAGCCACCTCCCGGCATCGTTAGATATCTATACCAGAGCTTCACAAGCTGTCTGCGAGTAGCCCGAATTTTGGCCCGTCTCGTTCTCGTCAAGTAATCGAGCTTGATGCGCCATGGCCAACCACCATCCCTCTCCCACCATGATGCAAATACAGCAGCAGCCAGGGCATCATCAGGGCCATCAAGCGCCCCCTCCTCCACCACCCCATCCCCATCAGCAAGCCGGCCACTTCCCATCATCAGGTCATGCCATCGCGGCCGCAAATGAGGCAGTATGGCTGCAGATCGGTAAGTCTGGCTGTTACTCCCACCGTTGCGCTGGCTACAGTCGTGCTAATGCTCTGTTCTTAGGAAGCTGTTCCGAGCTTCTACGCGTCCCAGACGAGGCCATGCACGCTTACGAGCGCGCGCTAGGGGCCAACAACAACTCCATCCCAGCCATGAATGCCATCGGCATGCTGCTTAAGGGCCGCGAGGCGTATGACAAGGCGCTGGAATACTTCAGGGCTATCACGCAACTCGACCAGACAAATGGAGAGGCTTGGGCAAATCTTGGTATGTTAAACGCGCGTCCAGCCGGTTCGCAAAACGATAATTTAACCTTTTCCGTGCAGGTCACTGCTACTTGATGACGGAAAATTTGCAAAAGGCCTACGATGCGTACCAGCAGGCGCTAGTAAATCTTCGAGATTGCAAGGTACGTCGACGATTGTCCGATTTAGAGCTATCCGTGCGCCTAACATATTCTAGGACCCAATGCTGTGGTACGGAATAGGTATACTATACGACCGCTATGGGAGTTTTGAATATGCCGAAGAGGCGTTCGGCCAAGTCATGCAGTTCCAGCCCGATTTTGAAAAGGCGAACGAAATATACTTCCGCCTTGGTATAATTTATAAGCAACAGTCAAAGTTTGCACAAAGTTTAGATGTTGGTGACCCAATCCGCCTTGCTACCAGCTCTTCCAAAACTGACATCGGACATAGTGCTTCAAATATATTGTCTCCTCACCACCTTCGCCATTGTCGCAAGACGACATCTGGTTTCAAATCGGACATGTTCATGAACAACAGAAAGATGTATTTCTGCCTCTCCGGCCAAGTTATTTTCTCTAGTTGCTGAATGCTGACGTCTGTCTTAGTTTGATAATGCCAAGAACGCCTACAACCGGGTTTTGGAAAACACCCCGAACCATGCCAAGGTTTTGCAGCAGCTTGGATGGTTGCATCATCAGCAAAGCAATGCATTTGATGTTCAGGAGCGTGCTATTCAGTACCTCGAGAAGTCTGTTGGAGCAGGTATGGTGAACATTCAACTTCCGCGCGTAGAGCGCACAGACTGACAATTCCCCAAAGACAACCAGGACGCACAAAGTTGGTACCTGCTGGGCCGATGCTACATGTCACAGCAGAAATATCCTAAGGCATACGAGGCCTATCAGCAGGCTGTTTACCGAGACGGAAAGAACCCAACCTTCTGGTGTTCTATCGGTGTCCTCTACTATCAGATCAACCAGTACCGAGACGCACTTGATGCATACTCGCGCGCTATTCGTCTGAATCCTTATATCTCAGAGGTTTGGTACGACCTCGGTACATTGGTATGTTTCTCAGCTAGATCAGCCGATTGCTCAATTTCGCTAACGCATTCCAGTATGAATCTTGCAATAATCAAATCACAGATGCTCTGGATGCCTATCAGCGGGCTGCTGAGCTCGACCCTGCGAACCCCCACATTAAGGCGCGACTGCAGCTTCTGCGATCGGGATCTAGTAATGGCGGACCCCCACCAGCTGCTCCCCAACCTGCCGATGTGCATCCGCAAGCCTACCAGACCACCGGACCAGTCGGTCCTGTTGCACCGTCCTGGGCTGGACCTGCTCAACAGCCTCCTAGCAACGGACCGCATCATCAACAGCAAGGAGGAGCCGGAGACAGCTGGGCTCGGGGGCTTTCGGGCGTCAACCCACCACCTCAACCTCCTAATCCTTATGACAACCGTGGTGGCGATGGCTTCCGTGGAGCTGTGCCTCCTCTGCAGCGCCAGCCTACTCCTCAGCAGGACCAGCAAATGCGCCCAGCTTTCCCTGAGCCTGGTCGCTCTGCACCACCACCTCGTCGTGGTCCGTCACCTGGTCCTTCTAGCCATCAATATTCCCAGCCTCCTCCATCGCAGCAACAGCAACCACCACCCTCACAAGGTCCGGCTCTCGGCCCTGATGCCCGTGTCCCGAATCCTAACTGGGGTGGCCAAGTCCCTTCAGTGGCATCAGCTCCTCCCTCGGGTCATTCGAATGGAGTGAATGCACCTAACGGTGCAACTCCATTCAGGGCTAACAACAGCCCGCGCCCCGACGGTAGACCGCCTCATGAGAACCGTATACCTTCTCCTAAGACAGCCTACCCGCAACACCCACCTGGTCCTCCTTACAACCATCACTCAGAAGCACCGCCTCAAGGTGCTCCTGAGAGTGCTCATCCTCCCCCTGCTCCCTTGGCCGAGAGCCACCCACAGCGAACCGAGGAGCGGCCAGGCTCTGCTGGCCCCAAGCGAGTTCGGGAGTGGGAGGAGGAATCGGCCGTTAAGAAACAGGCGAACGAGGAAAACCGTGCTCGCCTTGAGGATTTGCGTCATCGGCGACCTTCAACACCTCCACGCGAGCGTGACCCCTACCGTCGCAACTCTTCTGAGGCGAGACGTCCGGAAGAGCCAAGACGGCCTGAGGAGCCACGCAACGAGGGCTACCATCCCAGTGAAGCTGCTCACCACTCGCAGAACCACTCTGTTGGCCCGCAGAATCACCACCCAACAATCCCACAGGGTCCGGCAACTGTTTCTACTCCTAGTTCTGAGAAGCCTCCCCATGCCCCCCCTGCTCCTAAGGATGAGCGTGCGGCATCTGGGGAGCAGCCCGCAGCTTCTCGTCCTGCAGCCCCTACCAGTGAGCCGGAGCGGGCTGCAAGAGACATTAAGATCAATGATGACTACGACGATAGTGGAGATGATGAAAAGAAGACGGCCGTACTGGCCAACGGGTCCGGACCCGGATCTGCTTCGGGAGATGCTAAAACATCCACACCAACAAACGGTGCTGTTAACGGGACTCCGGGCCCTGCACCGAAAACTGAATAATCACAAAATAGGTTCCTGAGACTTTTGGTTTCCTAATTTAAATTTCGTTGTTTTGGTCTCAGCTTTATTATGTATACCATCAAGGACGTTTGGTCCTTCTATTGATTTGTTTCTCTTTTCGGATGTGGAGTCGCATGCGGAAGAGGTACGAGACGAATTTCTCTCCATGACTTTGGCTACAAAATCATGCTCGCCCTGTCTTGGGAACATTTCTTTATAGCCGTTCAACAGTGTAACTATGACGAATCTATACCAGACGGATTTCAACTTGATCTCTAGCCTTTCCTTCGCTCTCTTCCCGTTGAAGTGCATGTTCCAGATTAGTCATCCATGAAATTGCAAACCCCGTTGGCAAATCACGTGACCATGATGAGGGTACAGTTCGAATTGAAATTTTTGGTGTGCTAGTAATGGACGACCTTGCCGTTTGGGGTTTGGATTGTGCACGGACCAACCACGAATTTGTGCAGTTCTCGGTTAATAAAATTTCGCCCACAAATTGTTAAAACCCTCTTCTACTCCTACTCAGCGACGGTTTTTTGTCACTCCCATCATACTAACCTTCACCACCAACAACAGCCCAAGATGAGTGTAAGTAAAATGCCCGTTCAATGGCAATTGATATGTATAAAGCTAACACTTGGATAGCACCGTAAGTACGAGGCTCCCCGCCACGGCTCTCTGGCTTACCTGCCACGAAAGCGTGCTGCCCGCCATCGCGGAAAGGTCAAGTCGTAAGTTTGAAATACCAAATACAAGAAAACTCCCACCAATCTATTTTGGAGAAGGAAAACAGTATCTGACCAATTTGAACAACGCAGCTTCCCCAAGGATGACCCCAAGAAGCCCGTCCACCTGACCGCCGCTATGGGCTACAAGGCTGGTATGACCACGATCGTCCGTGACCTCGACCGACCCGGCGCCAAGGCCAACAAGAAGGAGGTTGTCGAGGCTGTTTCAATCGTTGATACTCCACCTGTACGAACAATGCAGCCCGCTTGGCTATGTGCCTATGGCTAACATCTCTTAGATGATCGTTGTTGGTCTTGTGGGCTACATCGAGACTCCCCGTGGTCTCCGATCCCTCACCACTGTGTGGGCTGAGCACTTGGGTGACGAGCTCAAGCGTCGCTTCTACAAGAACTGGTACAAGAGCAAGAAGAAGGCTTTCACCAAGTACGCCAAGAAGCACTCCGAGAGCAGCGGTGCTTCCATCACCCGCGAGCTCGAGCGCATCAAGAAGTACTGCACCGTCGTCCGTGTCCTCGCCCACACCCAGATCCGCAAGACCCCCCTCAAGCAGAAGAAGGCCCACCTTATGGAGATCCAGCTCAACGGTGGTTCCATCGCCGAGAAGGTCGACTTCGGCCGTGAGCTTTTCGAGAAGCCCGTCTCTATCGACACCATCTTCGAGCAGGACGAGGTTATCGACGTCATCGCCGTCACCAAGGGTCACGGTTTCAGCGGTGTTACCTCCCGTTGGGGCACCAAGAAGCTTCCTCGCAAGACTCACAAGGGTCTCCGTAAGGTCGCTTGTATCGGTGCTTGGCATCCTTCCCACGTCCAGTGGACTGTTGCCCGTGCTGGTCAGGACGGTTACCACCACCGTACCTCTGTGAACCACAAGGTTTACAGAATCGGCAAGGGCGATGCTGACGACAACGCCTCCACCTCCATCGATGTCACCAAGAAGACTATCACTCCGTATGTGTTTCCTTGTTTTCTTTGTGTAATTCCAATATCCCTCCAGCTGCTAACATGTGCCTCAGTCTCGGTGGTTTCGTCCGCTATGGTGAGATCAACAACGACTTCGTCATGGTCAAGGGTTCTATCCCTGGTGTCAAGAAGAGAGTCGTCACTCTCCGCAAGTCCATGTTCATCCACACTTCCCGCCGTGCTCTGGAGAAGATCAACCTCAAGTGGATCGACACCTCCTCCGAGTTCGGTCACGGTGCTTACCAGACCCCTGCGGAGAAGAAGCAGGTCCAGGGTACTCTCAAGAAGGATCTCAGCGCATAAGCGTGTGCTGGCGTTCCTTTTTATCTTGGTCATTGCATCGGTGTCTAAGGGTTTGTTTCTTTTAGGCTGGGTCAGGTTTCATAATGGAATGAATGAAAAAAAGCACCAGCTAGATGGGATTGATGAATTTAAAACAAAAAAAACTTCCCTGCATAGATGCCGCTGCGTGTCCCTTATCTCGTCCACGTCTCCGTTTACTGCAACTAAGCGATTCAAGTGTGATGATAGTGCTTGTGGGGGTCAAGCACTTCGCTCAAAAATAGGTGTCCACGTTGGAATAGATAGTCGGTAGTTGGAAAAAATGAAAGCCACTCCTCTATCATAAATCATAAATCGATTGCGCATTGGCTGGCCCAATTTGTTGTTAGTTCGACCCGTAGAGCCTTGAAATTCATCTCTTTGAATGGCGGGCAGTGGAACTTGGTGTCTTGACGTCACCCCTCAGCAGCTTAAGCGATGCAGTGACGCCTGAAACCGCATAAAGTGCTGCTACTTCTTGGTCATGCCTTCACTCCACAGCTCTCTATCACCAGCTCTGCCGCGCTGCCTCTGTAAACCACGACCAGCCGATATATCTGCCCTCCTCTACAAACGAAGTTCTCTACGCACGCGATCACTGTACACCACGACACGTGCCCCTCACCAACGAACACTTTCTACATTTGCGCCTATCCATTGCCGGGTTCAAGCCACACCTCATCAGCCAGCCTTCCCCCATATCCGGAGTATGGCGAGCGATAGCGACTACATGTCCTTCTTGGACAAGGCGAACGAGGATGTTTCAGGTGGAGGGAAGGCGACTACGCAGTCAAAGGGACAGTTCCAGTTCAAGGCGACAGACACCGGGGCCAAGGTGCCCAAGGAGATCAAGGATGCTATCAAGGACACTTTCATGATCAGCGAGGCTGACGAGCCTTTCGAGGCCGTTTCTTTGGAGGTCAAGGAGGACTCGTTGCCTGATGAAGGTACGTGAAGTGTGCGACAGCTTCGGGCTATCCAAGAAGCCACCCGCATCCCCGCATCTGGAGATGCATTCCCTCTTCTTCCACTACCCCTACCACCCGCTCTGTCTGTGCATATATTAACGGTGTGCACTCAGTTCAATTCGCGGAGCTCATAAACCACTGGGACCCCAACTCAGCAGACATCGAGATTCTTGATCCTCTAGATTGGGATAAGAAGGGGCGGTATACAAAGGTGATTGAGGCGGTCCGACAAGCTACTGAGGGTAACGACGTGAGAGTCTACCGCGTACCAAAGGATGCAACCAGGGCAGAATATTGGGTCATTTCTGTGTCGGGGGGCCGAGCAGTAGGTGTTAAGGCGTTGAGCATCGAAAGCTAAACTGACCCCATGGCGGAGGCGGGGGACCACGCCGGTACGATGGTCTGGCACGATGTGACTAACACTGATGCTGCAATTTTCCCAAGATGGCTTTTCGCGATTGACCAACTAGCTAGCAAGAAAGAGCCAGTCGATTGATGAGCATCTCGCTTGAGACAGCGCAATATCCCCATGACTCAATGGTGGGACAATGGTGCTGGCTGAAGAGTCACTGAGTTAGATAAGCCGATAACGGCGGGGCTTACAAGCAACCGTTGGTAAATCTTACAGCCAAATGTTAGCAGTAAATCAGTCATATCCAAACTGGGTGAATACGTCCGTGGAATATCCTGCTGTCTACCATTCGGACCACAGTGTGACGTCTTTGCTGTCCTTATTCCCTCCTTATCGTCTGTTATTTCGAGCCAGAGAGGGTATTCAGTCGTTTGTGCGCCATGGCCAGCGGGGTGGGTATCTGTTTCTTTCAAGAGTCACTACATGCCTGCGATCCTTATAGCGGATTTCTGCTCAATGATTGTGCTAATTCGATTCGCCATTGGCTCTTATAGCGAGATATTGTGCCGTCCCTGGACACGGTCCGGCAGGTTTTGACTGCTGCCCGCAGTTCTAGCAGCAAACGGCAACCGAACCTTGTCCCCGTATACCGCCAAATCTCCTCCGATCTCATCACCCCTTCCGCGGCATACCTCAAGGTGAGCGCCGCCTCGAAAGACGACAATTACTCCTTCCTCTTCGAATCCGCAGCCACCGAGCAGCTCGGACGGTATAGCTTTGTCGGCGCCGGCCCTCGCAAGATCTTGACGACGGGTCCCGGATACGGCGAGGAGACGGATCCCTTGCGCGGTCTGGAGAAGGAACTGGCAGAGTATGTGGTAGCGCAGGTCCCTGGGCTGAAGCTCCCTCCCATGGCTGGAGGAGCTGTCGGGTACGTCGGGTACGATTGCGTGCGCTACTTCGAGCCCAAGACGGCTCGCCCCATGAAGGATGTGCTCAAGGTGCCCGAGTCGCTATTCATGCTATACGACAGCATTGTCGCCTTCGACAGGTTTTACGGCATCATCAAGGTCATCTCCTACGTCCAAGTACCCGCGGGCCAGGACGACAAGGGACTGGAGGAGGCATACGCCGAGGCCGGCCGCACAATCGACAGACTAGTCGACGTCCTCGAGTCTCCAGAGGTCGTCCTCCCCAAGCAGGAACCAATCCAGCTCGGCCAGGAATACACATCCAACATTGGCCGCGACGGGTACGAGGCCCACGTCACGAAGCTGAAGGAGCACATCGTGGCGGGGGACATCATCCAGGCCGTGCCGAGCCAGCGGTTCGCCCGCCCGACCAACCTGCACCCCTTCAACATCTACCGCCACCTGCGCACCGTCAACCCCTCGCCGTACCTCTTCTACGTTGACTGCAAGGACTTCCAGCTCGTCGGCGCCTCGCCCGAGCTCCTCGTCAAGAGCGAGGAGGGCCGCATCATCACGCACCCCATCGCGGGGACGGTGAAGCGCGGCGCCACCCCGGAGGACGACGAGCGCCTCGCCGACGAGCTGCGCTCCTCCCTCAAGGACCGCGCCGAGCACGTCATGCTCGTCGACCTGGCCCGCAACGACGTCAACCGCGTCGCCGACCCCCTGACCGTCCGCGTCGACCGCCTCATGGTCGTCGAGAAGTTCAGCCACGTCCAGCACCTCGTGTCCCAGGTGTCGGGCGTCCTCCGGCCCGGGCAGACCCGCTTCGACGCCTTCCGCTCCATCTTCCCCGCGGGGACCGTCTCGGGCGCCCCCAAGGTGAAGGCCATGGAGCTCATCGCCGAGCTCGAACGCGAGAAGCGGGGGATCTACGCGGGGGCGGTCGGGTACTTTGGCTACGACGGCGTGGACGAGAAGGGTGCCGAGGTGGAGGGCGCGATGGATACGTGCATAGCGCTGAGGACGATGCTCACTAAGGACGGCGTGGCATATCTACAAGCTGGTAAGTGGTTCGCAAAGCATGGACGAGCCTCTTTTAAGAGCAGGCTCTTCACCCCCCCCCCCCCCTTCTTATTCTATAAGACGCAGGCGAATACTGACATGTCATGTCCTTTTTTTTCTCTAGGCGGCGGTATTGTATTTGACTCGGACGAGTACGAAGAGTGGATGGAGACGATTAACAAGCTAGGGGCCAACATGCATTGCATCACTTCAGCGGAGCAGCTGTATCACGCTCAGCAGCAACGGTCGGCTTAGACTATCTGATAGATCTCCAAAAGAAATATAAAAGCTTGCTGTTACACATATCACTGTCTTCTAATGATACGTATGAGAGTTGGAGCATGAAGTTAGACAACAATAGAAGATGCCAGACCTGACATCTCAACACAATGAGGCTTTGATGATATTGACCTTTCACATGTACAAGAGGGATGATTCGATGATCTTAGGGAGTGAACCCAATGTTATTCTCAACTAACTAGAAACTAAACTATATGTACTGTATAAATCCAAACCAATGATGAAATGCTATGCCAAATGCCAATAAATGCCCATGTTGTAACTCCAAAAATCAACCTTGGCCGACCAGATGTTCAAACCTTTTCCCGTTTTTGGGTCGTATCTCGTAAAGTAATAAAAATAAAACAAAGATAATAAGAAATGATAAAAAATAAATACATTAGAATAAAAATTGCGAACTGTTAGATGCCAGGGATCTAATCAGCAGCTCGTTGAGTTCTTCGCTTAGACGGCCACAGGCTCGTCTCTGGAAGTGGCCAGCTCAGGAATGGGTGTATCTCGTTTCTTCTGCGCCAAAAACTTTTGTTGGCCCCTGGGTGCAATTGGTGTCATGGTGGCAAAGTCCATGTCCTGCTCGACAGAATGTAGGCTCTCGGTATCAAACGAGACCACACTGCTACCGTCGGTCATCTCGACATCGTTGTCGTTGGAGGCGTCGGAGGGGAGTTCAATGGACGGAATTGGAGCCTCGCGGCGCGCGATTTGTGGAATAGGTGGTCCGATGGGTGTCATGTCCTCCATTCCACTAGTCCTAACTTTCGGGGTTGCTGCGTCGCCTCGAGGAACTTCAATTTCCACTTCTTCATTGTCCTGGCCGATGGTCCATACCCAGCGTCGGGGCTTCTCCTTTCTGCTCTTCCTCTTGCGAATGCCTGTGGGAGATGCAGCAGCTGCGGATTTCGGGACGATGGGCTTCTTTGATGCATCTGCCATGTCAGAGGAGGGGGAGGCTCCGGTAGAGTCATTCACACCTCCAGGAGTGGAAGGCGAGAAAGGAGACAGCGGGGAAGCGTCATCAGTGAGCAAGTCGATGTGTGACCTGGTGTAGGTGTTTGTGGTGATTTCCTGTTCGAGAGGGCTGTTATACCCTACCCTGCGAGCTGCCCTCTCCTGCAGGCGCAACGACTGCCTTCTTGGTGAAGGGGGAGGAATGGCCGTCTTTGCTGGCAGTGGTGAGTTGCGAAGGATGCTATGGCGAGCCTGAGACGGGGTATATGGTGGCAGGAGGCCGGGAGCAGAGGGCTGATAGACAATCGTGCGTGGCTTGGTGTTGGAGTCCGAGTTGTCGTACAGCCTGTGAGCCAACTTCCCATGGGCAATGTCAGTCGAGGCAAAAGTGAACACTTTGGATTCGTTTGAATCTCTGGTTCCCGACAGAGGAGGAGTTGCCGTCATAGTGCTGGGATACTTGATCTCCAGTTGTCGCGGGGATCCAGGGTGAGCTGAGGTAGGATGAGCAGATAGAGGTGTCTCGGGGTAGTGCATCGTGTACGGGGTGTTGGCCCGGTTGGAAGGATCCGGCTTCTCGATCGGCGTCGCAAGGCTGAAGGCTTGGAGGGTGTTGATAGCAGTCAGAGGCTCTGCATGAGCGGCTGTCAAGCCGGACCTTCCAACTACAGAAGCGTAGGCATTGGAGAGGGTGTTGAAGGCTGTAGGATCCTTGGTGTCGATGGTGGGTGGTCGTGACACTCGAGCGACTGGGCCAACCGATGTCTGGATCTTCAGAGATAAACGGGGCCGCTTCTGCTGAGGGGATGCCATTTTTCCGTTTAGCGAGTTGTGAGAAGAGACCGAAGCAAGAATAATAATTGCAGGCGGTGCTACCGCGAAGAACAATGGGTAGGATATTATAGAAACGGGCTCAAACAATAGTAAAGAGCCAAGACAACAGCCGTATGCAGGTTGGAAGAACGGTTGGTCGAGTTTCAGAGTCGTAGCCGCCGAGAATTATGAAAAGGAAGGATGTTTCAAGGCGGAGGAGGCTCGAAAGATGTAAGAGAGACGGAATCAGACGCCGGTAGCCAACATGGTCTGGGAGACTCCGGCGGCTATTTGACGATATTATATGGACGGGTTGCACAGCGGCGGATACGACAGAACACCACGGCACAACGGTGGCCGGCGAAGATTGGGCCGGGGTCCCCTGCCCTGGCGAGGTAAGCGCCATGGTCACCCTTGTATGCAAGTGTCGTCACAGGAACTGGCTGCCATGATAGGCTGTGTGGCGGGCTGCAGATGCTATGTAAGCGCCTGCTGGGGTCGAGGACAGGGGGGCGGACCCGGCGAAGAGAGGCGGCGCAAGAAGGTGGCTGTCGGGCATTCCCCTACTTGCTGGAGGCGTTGCTCGTCGAGACACCAGCCGGCCCAGATGACCGGCCGCAGTCATATCTGCTAGCCAGAGGCCGTCAACGGCGACGAGATGTGATGAAGAGAGTCCGCCTGTCCGTCTGGAGAGGCTAGCGGGGGTCGCGTGATGCTCGGGAGGGGTTGCAGGTCTGCTCTGCAGTATCACCGTAGGATCATGGAGCGGAGACGGATTCGATGAGTTAGGTGACATGCAGCACTGGCCCAGCCAATGAGTCTCCGCTGGTTGGCAGGAAGCCACAATGGCTGTTCACAACATGCATCAATCAAGCTTGCGGCCAACAATACAGGATTGTCTGGCTCAGCAGCCTACTTCTAATTGGGGCGGCCGCGCGCACCCATCCACCGATGACGCGAGGGCAAGAGCGACGGTGCAATGGGCGACCAGCGCCTTCCCCCATTGTACGCCAGTGTTCCATTGCTTTCCAGCGAGACAGCCCTCTGCTCACGGACGTGCTATTTTCTGCCGCAGTTGGTTATTCTTTTTTAATCGCGCCCGACCAGCACTACCTGGCAATTGAGATCGTGAGATGCGGCGACTTGGGGTGCTTCTAATTCCAGAGCCGGCAGAGCTAAAAACGGCCAGAATTTCCCTACTGGAGCGGCCCTCGATGGAGCCAGGAAAATCAACGGCTGGGGGTGAGGCTGGGGAAGGAAGAAAGAAATCACCAAGAACGAGGGCCTAAAATCCTGCCCTGGCCTCCCCTCTGCTCCCTGGAGACTCCCCCAACCCGCCCTACAGGGCCTCGGTCTCTCCCAACCCTCTCGACCGTTTAGAGCCGGCGGCGTTTAGGGGGGACGGACCAAGCCCTTCCCTGCACTAGTAAACCCTGGCCGCTGGAGGATTAAACGCGGTCTCACCGACTCATTGGATGTTTTGCCGTATTGGGGGAGAGCACGGTCGGCCTGCTTGGCTTCGGAGACTGGCAATTAGGCGCGACAGATCACAAGGGCAGCCACTCACAGCGAGCCAAAGTCCCCCGATGCCTCCCACCATCTGTGATGTTGGCTGCATAAGTCCAAACGCCTTTAGCCGACCGCCGAGTTAGGACCTCCTCTTTGTTCCTCTATTGATCCCCCCCTCAATCAATCCTACCCTACCTAGTTGAGGATCAAGTGGGCAGACAATGGAATGCAAGTCACCCGTGTCCTCCTGGCTCAGCTCGATCGTCTCACCACATCTCATTCAAACCTCAACTTGAGATTCATTTCCAATTTCCATCGCTGAGCTATTCGGGGACGTTAGCGCACTGGCTTGTTGGTCATAGCTCTCGCCCGAACATGTCTATTTTTGTTCAGGGCAGGTGGAATAGCTCAAGCCGTCAACTATGCCAAAACGATTAGTGTGGGGGCAAAAGCTGCCCGAAAAGGATAGTGCCAGTATTAATAGCTTAATAGGTTCTTGGACAGAGTTTAATTTATTCGAAATCATTTCGGCACATCGCCAACACCATTTCTGTGCGGCGTATGCAGTCAACTAACTCAAGTGTATCAGATTAACTCAATTTGCTCGGCATTGCATGAACCATGATTTTTGCCCCTCCCCCTTTCCCTCCATCTGTGCCGTTATGACTCTACCCAACGCCACGTTAAAAAAAGCCACTGGACTTTGCCTGTCTCATGCCAAAATACAAGCCACAGCTGACGTATGTTGTTTGAGGTAGAGCGTATTGGACCTCAAAGTAGTAGTTTTATTATAAACATGAGATTCCAGCTACATATGGTCGCTCAATTGCCACACGCGAAAATAGCCACCAGGATATTCACCGATCTTCTTGAATTATTCTTTTTCGGGTTGTAGGTAGTTCGTGGAGTGATCTGCTTCAATCATGGAGGCCAAGGTGTAGGGTAGGCACATGATCTGATTACCTTACCCAAATTCTGGTCACTTTATTGCCAGTTAGTGTATAAGCGGATTTGAGGCCGTGCACGTTAGTTCTCACCTAGGTACTATTGTCGCTAGGCTGTACAGATGTACCCAAAATTAACACATTCAAGCCTCGCCCTAGACACTGACTCAGTGTGGCTTCATCATCAATCTGAATAGCAACTCAGCATGCGAATTGCTTACTTTCGTTCTAAGCCCTCAATGTTACGGTAGCGTCTACTATGTTAGCCTGGATGAATCACCTTGGGCAAGCTCCGACAATTACACGATCCCCTCATCCCTCTCCCGCCTGTGGCGATGGCGCGGCCCCCACGAAAGCTTTCACGCAAAGAAGATCGTATTATTTTGCAATTTGTAAGCCCCATATAGTCCAACGGCGTGGAGTGAAACTTCAGTCAAACGGCTGAAGAATGTGGCGTGCACCAAAGATCCCACGAAAACTGACGAACAGGGCCTTAGGACTACGACTGCTTCTACGCACAAGTGTACGAGGTGAAAAACCCGGCACTGAAGCCCAAACCTTTGGGTATCAAACAGAAGAACATCCTCGCCACATGCAATTACAATGCACGTAGGCGAGGTGTCAAGAAGCTCATGCTCATCAGCGAGGCGAAGAAAATATGCCCTGAGCTCGTGATCGTCGAGGGTGAAGACCTCACCCCATTCCGCGATGTGAGCAAGATTTTGTTCAACTTCTTCAAGTCATACTCTTGGAACCAAAAGGTCGAGAGGTTAGGCTTCGATGAAGTCTTCATGGGTGCGTCTTATCATTGTTTCAAACCCGTCGTATTTAGAAACCCCCGACCTTGCATCTACAATACCGCTTTGCCTCAACCTCGCATCTGACCTCGGCTCCCTGCCCCGTAGATGTGACAGACATTATTGATTACAACATGGCCTGTTTTAATAAGCACTCGCCCACCAATCACTTCTTCCAGTTATCTGAAAAGGATCCTGAACTGGGGTTTGTGTGCGATCTCACTTCCATCCCGGGAGCTACGATTGGTGGCAACATGGATTTACCACCCGATCTGGACAACCCACTCTACCTGCGACTGGTGTTAGGATCCCACCTCGCCCATCACCTGCGGCTGAAAATAGAGCGAGACTTTGGCTATACGTCAACCTGCGGCATCTCCACAAATAAACTTCTGAGCAAGCTTGTAGGCAGCAAACACAAGCCCCAAAACCAAACCACCTTGCTGGCATTGACTGAGGAAGGCATACTCGAGTTTATGAGCAGCCACTTCCTCCGAAGCATCCCTGGCATTGGTTTCAAGTCGAGTTCTCTCATCGAGGCTCATGTGACTGGCTTGGAGACTACGACTGATTCCCATAGCTTCGAGTCCAAAGTCACAGCTGCCCAGGCGCTGGCATCACCCCACGTGTCTCCGGCATCCCTGGAAACCCTCTTGGCCGGGCCGGGCGCCGAGAAAGGAATAGGATTGAGAATATGGGGCCTGCTCCATGGCGTAGATCCCACAGAGGTCAAGGAGGCAAGTGACATCCCCTCCCAGATCAGCATCGAGGACACTTTTGGCCGGCTTGAGACTATGGCACAGATCTTGCCCGAGCTCCACAAACTGTCGTGCTCACTTGTACGCAGGATGAGGGTAGACCTCCTTGTACCTGATGGGAACTCGGACATCCCCGATGCTCTGAAATGGCTCGCGAAACCGAAGACTCTCCGTCTCTCTGTCCGGTCGTGGCCCAAGTCGGGATCTCTCTATACACAATTCAACCGACAGTCGCGTTCGGGGCCCTTGCCGAGCTTTGCGCTGGATGAAAAACAAGATATCGAGGCTGTGGCTGATAGGTTGGTATCTGAGGCTCTGTTACCCTTGCTACGCAGGCTCCAGGAAGACAGAAAGGGACAGCCGTGGAGCTTGCAACTTATCAACATATGCGTGTCCAATCTGGTTCCAACGGCGACAGAAGACAAGTCGGGCGTAGGGAGGGACATTGCCAACATGTTCAGAAAACAAGACGAGGTGTTGGCACCATGGAGGATTCTGCCGACCCCGGAAGAAATTGAAAGCCAAGCCTCAGAAGACTCTGGCTCCGATGATGCTGCTGAGCCAGAAACTTGGGAGACGACCGAGAATATACCATGTGACAAATGCGGCCACGCCATCCCTTACTTTGCTCTGGAAGCTCATTTTAGATATCATGAATTAGAGGACTGATTAAGCCTTGAAATCCGCCTGATGGTGAAATAGGACGCTTTTGAGGAGTCGAGAGTCGGAAATGGTTGGTATTTAGGACTTGATTGAGTCGTACAAATAGGGTTGTACAGGCATTTTTATAACGGCTTAGCCCGGGAGCGGATTAAATATTGAAACCAGCAGCTTATCTGCATAAGGCCCGGAAATACCTTTGGTTTCACTGGTCGAGTTGATTGGTGACGGTGGAAGGGTGGTCATCCGTTACACAAACTTGGCTACTCGATAGCCTATATTGTTGAGATGCACGTCCCCGATAAGCCATGCGGAACGGATGTTTTCTAAGTTCTGCGAGAGGTAAACAAACACACACACACCTATAGGTACATAATTGGGATTCAGCGTGGCTGGCTAGATATCGCCGTCGCTGGATTGGCACTCATCTTTATTCCTGTGACATAGTTCTAATCAAGGGCTATTGCGGTGTTCGACGGTGGATTGTATGAAAAAACATCCCATTATTGCTTAGAATTGATCATTATTCGAGGCCAGCCTCGAGCAAGGTTGCCGTACGGGACGGAAGGGTGCATTTGGTCTACAACGAGTAGCTGGAAAGCATTGCAAGGGTGCAAATACAAGTATCCGACCATAGTGCTAGAATTGCTTTTTCGACCATTGGCGGCTGGTGATCTAAGTCGATAGGAGGGTTTCACACTCATTTCTATTCGCTGACTGATGGGTACGTACGTTAAACAGATGCTACGCGGGAGTGACCAACGGTTGTTGGGAGAACGCCCAACTTGCTGGCGGGGGGATTTGGCTATCGTTTCCTGCCGGGTCTGCAGATGTCCTCGCACAAAGGGCCTGTGAGACTCTGCTAGCCACTGTATTGTCGTTTTCCTGCACAAGTCAATGCTGGGCCCCTGAGATGGGCGCGCGACCTCTCCATTACTATGGGGCGTGGCTTGCCATCACACGCCGTGTATGTAGCTACCCGCCTGCGTTTGATGAGGGAACATAGGTGGTGACTTCCATGAGCAGCTTGGGCACTAACGGGTACGTCACACTCGAGACGTGCTGAGGAAAATGTGAACAGAAGCTGAGGGACGTATCAGACGGCTGGCAGCTGGACACAGCTGGTGACGACTGAGTGATTGCCCGCGCCTGCCTGCCCATTTTCTGCCCCTTCCTCGCCCATTGTCCCTCTTTCCTTCCTTCTCTTTCTGCCTTATTCTCTGCGCCGGCTCTTGCTTGCAGTTCATTCCTTCCCTTGTTCACCTGCACTTTCCTGGCCTCGTCGTCGCCTTCAGCTTTTAGACGAGTCCATCTCAACATTGTCGCTTTCCCTAGTCTCTCCTTCCTGGTGATTTTAAGCATCACGCACATCTCGGATGATATTTCCTTGTCGAGTACGCCTGGTAGGTGTCCAAACTTTTCGTTGTTGTTTGCGCCCATCAACAGGTGGTGCCTTCCCCATCTTCACTTACCTTCTCGACTGCCCAAAGTGGCTGAACAATAGGTACACTGGACTCAGCTCGCACTTTCCTCGTCCGGCCTTCATGACGGACACACGGGGGATAAATGAGAATTTGGGAATTACCACTCCAACACACTCCTCCTCTCCCCTTGACCATGGATTCCTCGATGTAGTGTACCTGCGAAGGTATATTGCAGGCAGTTCCGAATCCAAACAAGCCATCAGTGTTTCCCATCGCGGAAGACACTTTTTAATCCCCATGCACCTACCTTATTCGATTCAACACCATAAATTCTCTTAATCGCGGCTTCCGCCGTTCTCTCCGTGAGTTCCCAAGATCCTGGGATTGGACTAATCGTCTGTTTACCCCGTAGTGTAGTAGGGTCGCTTTTCGTCCTCCCTTCTGCTCTATGTCTGCTGGCCTGTAGGCTTCTGCTTTGTCCTTTCACCTCAATTTCGGGTGAAGCGCCGAGTCCTCGAGTCCGTGTTCTGAATTCGAAAACCACAACGGAAGATGCCTCGAGGATCGGGCCGTGGCGGCCACGGGCACTCGGCTCGTCGTCTAGTCGACTTGACCGGAATACTTAGTGTCGCGGAGCGGAACGATCTTTCAACACTTGTCATTGCTATCACGGAGAGAATGCACACAGATATTAGTGCGACATTCGACTCGCCAGTGGTGACACCCGTTGATGCGGGCAATGGGCATCACAACTGGCTCACCTTACCTCTCCTTTGCCACAAGGAAGGCAAGAAAGACATCTCGTCAGTTAACTCCAAGCCAAACCATCCCAAAAAGAGAGGCAAGACTTATGACAAAGTCCACAGCACCATTGAAAGGGAAGAAGAGGAGGCGATGACGCCTCAACTGGGAGAGTTGAAGAAAGAAGCCTTGACGTTTTTCCGAAAATGGCAGTCCCTGATCCTCCAACGTATGAAAGATGTAGCTGTGACCGAGCCCAAGGTTGCTCATCCCGGGGGCAGAGGCCGTGGACGGGGCTTTCGTGGAGATGATAGCTTCCGTGGCCGTGGAGGACGTGGTGGGAAAGCTGGCCGTGGAGGTCTCACTCTGGCAACAGGTACGTTCCTCTTCTAACTCGAGATGATGTGTTAGCTGAGACTTACTAACCCCATCGTACCAGGCCCTCCTCGGCTCCCTTCAGCACATATCGACCTAGAACTGTCCAAGCAATACCCGCCGATCCCAAACACGCTGTGGTCATTGTCAATTGACCGAAGAAGACTGTTTTTCCACATTGTATTTCTGATCACGCTCTCGCTTCAAGAGTACACGGCAAACTCGTTCCTGCTTCTTGCCAATCTCACTTCATGCTTGAATCTTCCTTTCATATTTTTTCAAACAGAAGAGATTAAGTTGGCCCGAGGTCTGGCCTATGCCGCTCTTGAGACATCAGCAGAGGCCTTGTTAGCCTTGAAGCTTGAGGAGACCAAATCCTCTCGTAGGTTCAAAGGATACGGGAACACGTCCGCCAACCCGACCTTGGCGGCCGGCCTGGAGAGCATTGGGCTCGGTACCTCTAGCGGAGGCTTTGGTCTGACGGGCACTATTGCTGCAAGTCTTCTTGGGGCTATGGCAGACAATGCACGGATGCAAAACGCAGTATTTGGCATCAACCCGTCAAAGCCGCTGGGGAAACTGCTCGAGACCTTCAGCCGCGACATTCAGGATGTTGGATTCATACCAGTACACCCCAAGCCTTTTACAGAGTATACCGATGCTCGCGAGGTTCTGGCAGAGGATCGTCGGCTGCGTATCGTGATCGCCCTGAATGGTTGGGTGATCGAAGATGAAGACTTGGTTAAACCATGGATTTGCTTGGGACAGCAAACGGAAACATATACTTTGAGATGGGACATGGCAACTCTCCTTAATCTCGGGAACTCCCTGGAGACCGTCATCTTGAGCTCAGCCTGGGGTGTCTCAAAGAAAGAAGTGAAGACAAGAACGAGTAAGTTGCCTTGCACTAATTACGAGAGAGCGAATATGGCTGACCATATCTAGTCTTCAAATGTCTACTCGAATCTGATTGGCCTGGATCTCTTTTGAAAGTTAGCAAGATCATCGACAATCCATGGAATGTTGGTCTCGTACGAGCAGAGAAGGCAGGGGGCATGCTGGCTGATGCCATCATGCGCCACAAGTTTCAGGGAGATCGGCCAGTTTCCTTGGTGGGTTACAGTCTAGGAGCTCGGGCTATTTATTGTTGTCTTATGGTGTTGGCTGAAAGACGCCATTTTGGTGGCATTGAATCTGTGGTGCTCATGGGGGCCCCGATACCCTCTGAAAGCCGTGTGTGGTTGACCTTGAAGAGTGTTGTCGCAGGGCGTCTCATCAACGTATATTCGGAGCATGACTTTCTCCTTGGTTTTCTCTGCCGATTCTCAAACACAGACTTCGGTATCGCCGGCTTACAAGAAATCCAAGGAGCTACTGGCGTCGAGAATTACAACGCGGGCGACTTGACCAGGGGACACCTTGGCTACCGGTCTGCTGCTGGACGCATTCTCAGAGATATCAAGTGGGAGCAGCTGAGCAAGAACGGAGCCCACGGGGGAAATCACGGGGGAAAGCCCGCAGGCCACAAAGGTAGACGATGAATGTAGGCGATGAAGGTTATATCGAGTGGGGTAATTTGTGTGCGGGCTGGGGGTTGAGTTCCGTCTGTGGCCAAGGCTAGTCGAATGATTGATACGGGGCTCTGAGCTTCTGTAGTACGATTGATGATTTGTAAAATAGCTTGATCAACGCAAGAGATAGTTTGACCTTTGAAACTTACCCGCCGTGCTGCCTTCTCTTGTTGGTGATCATGTTAATGGCTTTCACGATTACGGATAGGGGATTGAGTCGTGAATTTGAGTGTTCCATGTTCAGTTGCCAAATGGTCTACCAATAATAGGAGTAGCAGCAGAAATGATACCAATATTGTCCCCGTCCCCCCAAATGAAAAAGGGATGTATATATACCACCGTTACTCCCCTAAGATGCATGCACCCCAGTTGATGTAAACAAATAATCCAACAACGGGGCCAGATTCCTGTTGAAAAGATGGCCTTTCTTTCCCTATGGCCTTCTGACCAAATGCACTTTTCGCCGCAATATGATTTCCATTCCCCTTAATACCCAGGGCTTCGTGTGATTTCAAATATAGATTACAAAAAAGGTCGTTTGTACATTTGACATAACAGAATAACTCTTCCCCCGCCATGCCGCCTACCACGCAAGCCGACCGAGGGAGAATCAATGTGATCCAATCATGAAGGAGGCGTAGGGCCCAGCATGCTGGGTACCTGCTTCCGGGGAACAACCTTTCCGCCACGGGGATCTAGGCGAGGTACGCCTTGGATGGCCCGGGGCTCCCGCATCAAAGATCTGTCCAAGCGGGCTGGTGTGCGTGTTACAATCGCATGATAGTCTCCGGCAAAGTTACCCTTTGGCACGGGCACTGAAGCCGTCCGCCAGATATGATCTGAAGTATCTGCCAAAAAGGTGGGCGATTTTGTGCTACCCCGGCGCGGAGGAAGAAAGCCGCCTACGTTGAGCGAGGCGCCGTGAGACTGGCGGATGGTCGATAGGCGGGAAAAGCCCGCTGATAGCCCTGGGCGTCCTCGGGCTTTCTTTGCCATGATTATTTCCTCGAAGAGGTGGAGAGATGGGTCTGTAGAAGGCTTCACCTCCCGGTCATGAATAAACTCATTAAATCCTACAAATCAAGTCAGCTGGACGTCTGTTTTGAGGAACGTGAGCGGAGGGCAACGAACCTTGGGTTTCGCGAAGCATAGTGGTATACTCCTGCTGGTCATAGGGTAGACTCTTGATGAAACCTGCCATGTCAAAAGCATACAACTGGCCGTTGCTCTTTTGCTGCTTGTTGGGCCGTCCCAAGTACTTGCGATACGTGTATAGGAGACTGGCTTGGCAGCGCACAAATGCGGCCCGCACTCGATCAGCATGGAATGCTTCGGGGCAAACCACAGAGACAAATCCGAGGCATCTGCCATGCGATTTAACCTTGCAGCCTGCGCATGTGTAAATCCCATCTCCTTCTCCCCTGTCTTCGCATATGGTGCAGTTCGACACATCGCCAGGGGTCCAGTTCAAACAATGTCCTTCAACCCAGACTGTGGTGTCGGTATTGGTGACCGGGTGGATTTGCATGCTGGGCATGATGGTTGACGCAGCAAGGGTAGATTGGGCATATGTCGAAGGTGCATAACCACCGCCAAAAGACCCGAGGGAATCAACGGAAATTGCCGATATCGATTGGTTTGCTTGGTGACCGTTGAGGAAGGGCATGTTGGGCCGGCCAGCACCCCCATCTTTGCCGGCCATGCCAAATGACGAGCTACGCCTTCCTGAACCTTCCCTGAAATGACCCGATCGCTTTTCTCTCAGTGTCGCAGTCAAGCCAAACCCGGAATCGCTTCTGGAAACGGGAGCTGGTGGCAAAGGAGGGAAGTGCATCGACACTGGAGATTCAGAAGATGGCGGGCTGGTCTTGTTGGATTTGCTTGTGCCAGGCCTGTCTGACTTTGCCTGGTCCGTGGGGGCGATTGCAAACGCATTGAAGACAGGAGGATGAACCTCGCTGGGGGGATCTGGCTCGCCAAAGCTTGACGAACTTTGGGATACCCACTTGCCCAGTGTGCCGACAGGAGGTTTGGGAACGAAGAGCGAGGCACACTCACTGGAGAAGGCATCGTATGGGAAGGATTCCATGGCGTAAGGAGGGGGGCCTGTGGTGACGCCATACCGGAGCTTGTGTGGCGCTGCTACCTGCAATAGAGCATGGAGTTTTCTTCTAATTTGCCGGGGTAGTCTAAACGGTTGGGAAGTAGCGTCAATCGTGTCTTTATCCAAGTCTACTAGAACGTAGTCGTCCTCGGGAAGTTCGATGCGATCATAGCGTCGCTCAATTCCAACGATATATGGGCACGGGGCTTCTAAAGCTGAAATCAATCGTGCGGGTAACACAGGAATGAAAACGCTTGCCCACTTGAAGGGATAGAGTAGGTTGGCAAGCGCATGGCAAGCTAGGTGGAGCATACTAGTATGCGAGGAGAGGAATATGATGCGTGATTCGGACATGGCATATTCGAATAACGCCATGACGTTTTCCAGGGATAAGCAGCGGAAAAGGGCGTACAAGTCCACCGTCCTAGAACCTGGCAGTTCGTTCGAAGCTTCCTTGCGGGCGTATAGCCTCAGCTCTCGGATACAAAGTTCAACCTGGGTCTTAGATTCCAAGGGGCTGAAGGCCTCTGTGCAAAGATTGACGACATATCGCTCGAGGGGCTGCCACCGCCCAACCCGAGGGGAACTAGGGGGGACTCGGAGGATGCCACCGTCGGTCATAGGGACAACAATCGCCTTCAGCCATTCTTTCCAGAAATTGATGTTGGCGGCGTCTCTGCCAAGGATACCATAGGCTCTTGGCACCCACAGACCACTCTCACCCGCTGTTAGGCCTTCGATTTTTGAAGCAGCCCCATGTCTCAAGGGCCGCAGCATATCTGTCATCAAAGTGATCTTCTCCTCGACGGTACTAATCTCATCTTCAAGGCGGTCTCTTGCTGGTGAGCCAGAGGGTATCGTTGGCAGTTTCGTAAGAAGATGCGACAAGTGAGATCGCTCACCGGCTAAGCGCACACCTAGACTTGCCGCCAGCTCCCGTTCCTCATTCGACATGTGGCTTTGCCGCCACTGCTCGCATTTCCGCTCAACACCTTCCGCCGCAGTAGCGCTCAGTGCTGTCCAGATGATAATCGTGAGCCCATAGAGTTTAGAATTGTCCTCCGACGTCATCGTAAAGCCGTGCCATGTTGACCGCGGTCTATCGTCTGAAGATACAATCTGAATATCATTGGGGAATGCGAACATGGGGACATAGTCTGGGAATTTCCCTCTCTTAGAGAGATCTTCCGTCGCATCTTTAGGTGGGTATCGGTCGAGCAGGACTGGTTCGAATTGTCTTTTGAGAGGGTGCATATCGGGGTCGGTATTTAAAGGTTCCGGGGGCGGAATAACCGAATTATAGTTGCTCATTCGTCTTGTGGTCCGAACAGAGGCTGTTGGGTTCATGGTCAGTACTTGAGCGAATAGTGAATGCAGAAAGTATATTGGGTCTGGGTGGACAAACCGGCTCTGCTTGCGCCGCTATTTCGAACAGTGCTAGGTTGCCTCCGCATGCTGTTCATATCGCGAAAGCTTATCCTCCGACGTATGCTCCCCTTGATGCTTTTCAGAGGACTCATTCTCCCGGACTCAACTTCGTCGGCGCGAATTCGCTCTGCTCGCGGATTGATCATGGGTGGTCTGGCCTGGACTTTGGCTCCGGCGCTGAATGTCAAATCCTCTAAGAAGTCCTCCCTCTCCGCGGCGAACTTGAGCAGGGCCTTATCGAAATCGAAGTCCCGCATGCTGCCACCTGGGACGAGCAGCTCGTTGCCGCTGCTTGTTCCCTCCGCAGACAGGGTGCCGGTGGCGCTGGCGCCGCTTGAGCTGCCGGTCCTACTGTTCTCGACAACCAGGCCATTAGGACCATTGATCGTACTGACGGGGCGTATGGTAGCGCTGCTCCGGTTGCTCGAGGTATTCCCGTTATCGAGATCGTCGACGGTGGATAGCGAGAAGCGGTTGTCGAAAGAGACCTTGGAATACCGGCTCATAGAACCATGGCGCGAATGGCGCACGCTGATACGGTTCGACTGGGGGGTGACGGGGCTTGGAGAGTCGAAACCAGGCTCACCATCTTCGGCAATGGTCGACTCGACCTGGTGCGAGAGTTCGAGCTGGCTGGCCTGCGGGGCATCCTCGTAGGCGACGGACTCTACGCCGGCGATCCAGAAGTAGTCGGCCAACGGGGTCGACGAGCCCTCCATGACATGTCAATTGAGCGAGCCGCAACCGAAGCCCGGCTGGATATATTTCTGGGTTGTCGAGGAGAAGTTATCCCAACTTTTTATCAGGTGTGGGCGACGTTTTTACGGGGGCGCTGAGGGGGTTGCGGTTCGGTCGCTGGGCCTGGTGCACGGAGGCAGGGGAAAACGGGGGGTACTTCACTGGTAGACACACCACCGCAGATAGATGCAGGCTAGCTTGGGCAGGGACTGCTATCGTATCGTGCCTACCTAGGTTAGTTTTTACCTCCGGCCAACGCGCTTGCGGCTACCTGCTGGGACAGGGGTTCAGTCAGAAGGAGCCGACACCGACAAGTCAGGCACAGGGACGAGGACAGGATACGAAGTGGCATGAGGGTTGCTGGGTGAGCACGCAGTACGTACCAGAGCGAGAGATGGACAGGATGAGAGAGAAGAGCAGAGAAGAGCAGACAGAACACAGCACTGTTTCATGCACCTCAGGTAGCATCCAGGTAGCACCCAATCTGTACGCGCAACAGGTGGAGGGGCTCCCAGGCTAATGTAGGTCAGGTAGGTGCGAGGCCTCTAGCGGACGTGTACCTGCTGCGTGTGCCCAACGGAAAGGTTAAGTGGTGCTAGCAGGTAGCACACTGGTACCTATGTACGTTCTGGGCGCAGATGGCCATATAGGGCCATCGCTCCTACCTTAAAGGAGCAGCCAGCTAATACGGCCATTTCCTAACGGCGTCGACGGCGTCTCAGGGGAGATGCATCAGCTAATGTACGATACGGTTGCTGCCCGCCACCGTCATCAGCCCTACTAGTAGTGCTCTTCTTTCTTTTTCCAGAGCCGGCTGATTCAATAGCACGAGGAGACGAACGGGTTCTATATATATACATGTCCGTTCAGGCACAAATTTTCCATCCAAGACATGCCGTCTCGGCGGGAGTTGTGATTGGCGATGGGTTCCATGAAACCTTGAGTGGCCCACGCCCGACAGGTACCCAAGCGCAGTGAGAGACTGGAATGGCTGCTCGACCACTTTGCCAATCCTGCGGCAAGTTTGTAGGACAGGCTATCGATTTCGACTACCTAGTACCTACCTAGTACTTGGTAGGGGGCGCGCCACAGGGCTTGATCCTCAGTTCAGGTATGTGATGAGACGCCCGGCGTTGATGCATATCGAGTTACCAGCGAGTGAGCGTTTAGACTGAAGGAACTGGCTCCTCTTCCCCTCTATCAACCCCACCAGGACCTTGCCCAAGCATGTAAGCTAACATTGTAGGCTTTCGAGCCTGTCTGCGAGGCGACCTTACCGGAATCGTTATCTGTGCCCGACGCGATGCTGGGAAACAACGCCTTGAGCAAAGACCAGCCAGAATATTACTACATGCATCTGCAGCCCATCACTCAGATCGGTGTCTGCTAAATGCGGGCTTGCATCGGTGGCAACGGCACGTGCCTGGCTGCCACGGCGGCACAGAACGGGAAGCCAACGAACGCATGCTTATGTCGGCACATTGAGAAGAAGGAAGCCGACGCTACGCTGTCATGAGAACACGCCTTGGCTGTCAGGGCTCTATCATACCTGCGCCTGTCCCTTGACCTCGCCCATGCGCTTGCTCCTCCTCGCGTCTATTCCTTGCGGCTCCTCCTACAGCATCGCGATGATGGGTGTCGGTGTATGCAGGATCAAAACTCATCCATCCGTTCATACGTAAACCATCCCTGGCTCGTCCGTGAAAACCCCGTCCAACTCTGGTTCTTAGGACTTTTGGCTATAGGGAGCAGGTCCAACATGGCCAGATGCAGCATGCAGCGCCACACACCTGCAGCTTGTACCTGGCAGGTTACAGTAAGCCATTCGCCTGCGTCGCATCCACCATCTTGAGCACGGATGCAGATGAGTTGGTGCGTTGATCTAGCGCCCACAGCACAGACTTTGCCCCGGAGAGGATGCTCTCGCCGCATCGGCTTACTCTTCGATCAAGTCAATCCTTTCCTGCCACGGGTTCGAGTGACCAGCTGCCCATTGCCAGGGTGTTTGGCGCACCCCGTTCGGTAGATGGACGTGCGCGCGTATTTAAGTGGATTCTCTACGCTGCTCTACAGATCCCAGACACGACAGACGCAAGTAAGCACTGGCTGGTTTGAGGTTGGACATGCACGGCAGCCAGCCAAGCAGTCACTACTTAAAAGTAGTGGCTGGCTGTTTGTGGAAAGAGACCCAAAAAATCAGGAGCAAGAAAATAGATTTCCTATTGGAGCCAGTTGTCCTGCCACCTGCCGGGAACTTGCATGTCCCAGCCGGCGTTGCAACTTGGGGGCTTCGGGTTGTGTGACAGTCTCCCCTGTGTGCTCACCAAGATCCCCATCGATCACCCCCTGGTGAGCATTATTAATGCCGGGAACAGGACTGCGAGACGGAAACCACCTCTGCCACTGGACCATTCATCAAGCCCGCTTGCCACCCTCTCCTGAGGCGCTTGCTGGAAGGAGCAAGTGAATGCCGGCCTTTGTGTTCCATGCTTAGGTCCTGGCGCTGGCGTTGGTGTTGTAGGATTTCGGCCACGGGCGGATGGGCACGCCAGCCATCCTTGCCATCGTCCACGGCTTGGCATCCTTAGTACGAGTAGCCCCCGACCCTGAGCTCACAGGATTGCTCTAGATATGGAGATGGAGCTGGATATGGAGTTGCCGTCTGTGCCCAGGTTGCCGTATTGATCCAGGGCTTGAGCTGAGGATGACATCAGCCCTACTCTCTCAGTACCTTCTCAGAGCAGACCAAAGGCAGAATTGTTTTCCGCATGTGGAACTATTCCCCTCGGCCCTGTCTCTGCGAGGCTCTACTCCCGCTTCGGAATAGCTGGCTTCCCCAACGACGAGACCCTTGCATGTCACTTGGATAGTATACTTGACATGTCACCTCCAGGGCCCCTCCTCCCTCGTTTAAGGAATTAAAAAGCCTCTGGATAGGAACCCGTGGAGAGCGAATCAACTGCGCAATTGAATGATTACGACGGTCCTACCCTCCCCCACCGGACTAGCACACCCAGGAGGCAGCGAGTTTCAGAACCCATCGACTCCACTATTGGTTGTGGAAGGGTAGGTCGGGGAAACGAACTCTCGGCTGCCAACCACCTGGGTTCCGGGAGTGCCAGGCCAGTATCAGACTCCTGCCTTCCGGCTACCATCGCCGGCCAGGCCAACCGTCTCTGTGTATATCGAGATGTGCGCGAGGCCGAAAATAGAAAAGGCTTAACCACCATCTTAGTCTCCATGCGTACCTTGCATAGATAGCACCTATCAAAGCTACCCACCTGTCTGATAGACCTACCCGTATCATGGCATGAAAATTGTCCGAGCCCCTTTCTACAGTCAGACACCAAATTGGCAAAGCAGAAGACGAAAGAGTGTGGTAGGAACATCGGAAAGAGATGAGTGTGGGAGAGTAAGAGAACAGCCTAAGAAAGGGGTAGATGCCATGTTTGGCTCCACGGGGGAGAGCATGTTGCTAAACTTCGATCAAGCCACAGTCATCCCACGCCATCTACACGGCGAGCGGGTGAGATAAGATGGCACGCCAAGGCCTCCCTCTTCGTATCTTGACATAATATCTGATCTATTAGCACAACGAGCAGGTGAGTCTTACGGCAATGGCTAGTCTAGCGTTTGGTGCCTGCTTCGTTATTGCTAGACGCCGGACAGTCGGCCCATAGCTTACACATTAGGCTGAACGCGGCGTTCTGGTGTGCCGTGTCTAATCGCACCCACTTACACGGCCTCGTATGGGTGTATGCATGATGTCGACCCAGGTAACCCAACATGTAGGTCGCGGGTGAGGAGGAACTGGTCCGAGACAGGGCCCCTCGAAAACAAAGGCATTAACGCGTGCTGCCATACGTGTATACGGGTTCGCCTTTGTACCTATTGTCTGAACCCGGAGGCAGGTGGGGATATACCATAAGGTAGGCACTCTTGTGATATATGTGAAGAACTACCAGGTCTGCTCGTATCCCCAAGAGCTGGCTGGCCTCCCTCCCACAATTTCCAATGCCACCTGCTTACAATATATCATTATCTCCGTGCCTGCATATATCAGGTCTGCTGAGCCATCTAGCATGCGCGGCCGAATACGCCAGTCTAGCTGATAACGGGGCGCTCCCTGGCTCGATACAGCATGGAATCACACAACCCGGCGACGTTGCGAGATCCGGCCGAGTCCAACCAACAGAGCCGTTGGTTCTTGTTGTGTTCAGATCGCCAGCATATACATCCCTCAAGTTGGCCACCCTAAGTCAATCGACGTGATATGAATTTTCGATTCTTCGATTACCAGAAATCATTCATCATCATTAGTCGTCCATGTCTGGAAATACCATCCCAGAGCTTGATTCGTAACCTACCATCTCTCCTCTGCTGGCGATATTCGTACACGTGTCGTAGCATCCATTGGATGGCGGACAATCATACTTCAACTTGTGCCTTTGCCGCAAGCTTGCCCGTCGACAGGAACCCTCGGTTGCCCATCTCCCCTCTCCAACCGATACCTAGCACTCCAAAGATGATCCTCCCGTCCCTCGTAGCCTTGACGCGGCCGCCGTCCTCCTTCTCGTTGACAACAAAGCACAGCTGCTCCGTCTCCCCGGGGTGCAGCACCGGCTTCGTGCTCCCGCTCACCTTCCAGTTGCAGTCCCGGTACGCCAGGTCATCCTCGCACTCCATGGCCACCTTCTCGAGCTGCATAACCTCGTCGCTGCAGTTCTCCAGCTGCGCCTCCAGGACCCATCTGCTCCTCTCCTCCCCCTCCTCGCCGCCCGCGGCCTTGAAGCCCGGCAGCGCGCTCACCTTGGTCCGCACGATGAGCGACGGCTTGCATATGAACTGGTACAGCTTCCTGAACGTCCTCGTGCGCCCGCTCGTGTCCGACGCCTCGTAGTAGCTCACCGTCACCGCCAGCACGTGGTTCCCCTCTTCTTTCAGATCGAACGTCACCACCCCCTGCAGCGTCTCCCCCTCGGCCAGGTCCAGCGGCCCCCCTCTCGCCGCTCCCGCCAGCTCCAGCTTCTGCGCCCGCATCCCCGACGCGGGCGTCTTCATCTCCGCGTCGATGCGCACGTCGCGGATGCTCTTGCCCGAGTCGGGGGGGAGGTCGTTGTTGGCGCACAGCGTGCAGCTGAAGGTCTCGCCGACGTAGGCGGAGCCGAAGCTCACGGGGAGGTTGACGATGGGGCTGAGGAGGAAGGGGGCCGAGTTGGTGGTCTCCCCGTGGGCCGCCCCGTGCGGGCTGTAGGCGAGCGAGGCCGGCGAGATGGAGGGCTTGGAGGTGGTGCTGCCGGCCGTGGAGAGCGACTCTGGCGACTCGAATGGGTACTGGGGGACGAGGGATGGGCGGGAGAGACTAATGAGGCGCGAGATGCTGGGTTAGGTGTCTATCCGTGCTTGGGTCTGGTGGGAGTTTCTGGTGCATACCGCAAGACCTTGAGGGAGATTGCGTGAGGCTCCTTCACGGAGGCATCGTGGGATGGGTATCTTTGGTGGCTCATCTTCGCAGTTTCATGGCCTCGTCCGGATTGTTGGTTGTCTGCATCTCCCGTCGGCAGGAGATGGAGGATGCAACTTTGGCTGCAGGTACGTCAGTCGCTTTTGGGTTCCGCTTTGGAGCCAGCCCTGGGCCGTGCCGCTTTTAGGGCGGGCACTACAGTCACATGTACTATCTCTATATGGAAGCTTGCGCGACTCTCCTCCGTCATGAAGGATCTTGCTTGAAAGATGTAGCGTAATGGATAATAAGTATAATGATAATAAGTACAGACCTCATGTCTCTAGTTCTAATTTAGACTATATTCAACACAGTCTTCTTTGAAACTACGTTCGCTTGCTGCTTTTATGTGCACTTTCTTTCTCATTATCTTGCTGTTCAAAAGAGTCCATTACATGACACAAGCTGAGAATTGCCGGTGTTCGGAGGACCTTGATTCTTTCAGTCAGATGCCAGCTTCGTTGATCCTAATACAAGGGACGAATCAGCCAGCCGTAAACATATGCAAGTGTTTTGACCAGTCTACCTAGGTTGCTAGGCACATGTCACTTTTGCCAATGTCTAGCTGGAATAGACTTACTCAATTAATAGTCTACCGAAAAGGAAATGAGTTAATTTTTAGGGGAATAGCAAAGCGAAGCTATTGATTAGTCTTAAATCCGGATGTTGTCGACTATCTAGTTAAGATTGTCTTTTCATAATCAGGGATTTTACCAGTAGGTATTCATCAGCAACGCTCACAATCAAACGAAATGCAGAAGGCTCCTGGAATACCAAACTCTCCCTACGCGCAGTTGAAGCAAGAGTGTTTGCAATTTCATCCATTGTCGTCTGACACCATCCTCGTGTCGTTTAGAACCTCAATCGGCAACCATAATCAGTTGAGC